GGGAAAGAGATGGGGGGCAGTGGCATATAGCATCTGCTACCCCAAACTTCCTAGACGTTATTTTTGTACTGTGATAGGGCTGCTAGAAAACCATCTTTCATTCATCATGTTGGCAAAACTAAAAAGACTGATAATACACAGTGTTAAGGAAGATGTGGACACTTTTGTACATGACTGGAGGGTAAATCCACACAGCATTTTTGGAGGGTAAGATAATATTCGTCAAAAAACTTTAAATGTGTGTCCTTCGACCCATCAACTGGCCTTGATGGCTGCCCTACAGAAATTATTGCCCACGTGCTCAAAGAAGCATGTCCAAAGATGCTTCAGCTTCCTTACTTGAGCATTTCAACTGACACTGAAAACTCTAAAGCAGGCTACACAGCCACCAGTCGAGGAGTGGCCAGATAAAACCTGTTCATCCCTCTGATGGCACACACTACGGAGAGGGAGGGTCACAGTGCCTGGCATGACCCATGAGACATGGTAGAGGAGAAGAAAACTAGGCTGCAGATAGATTCACTAAGCTGGCAGGACACCAGTCATGTTTACAGCCCCCACCAAACAACCCTGTATCTCTAGGCATGGAAACGCCCAGAGAGGACCTGGCACCCTCAAACTGCTTAGAGAAGTGAGAGGGAGAGAAACATCGCATGGGTCTCTGAGGGCATCACTCTTGGTTGATTTTTTAATGACAAGAATAATAGCAAAAATCATTTGTATAGCTGAAAAAACAAAAAGCTACCTAGTTTGTCATAAAAAGGACAGTGAGATCTCCCCATGCAATCGCTTGTGAGGCAGGTCATGTTGCTGACTGCTCTGTGACATGCAACAATCCACACTGTAGTTTTCAAGGTAGAAAATGAAAAACACAGAGCTTTTCATGTTGACACTTTGTATTGTGACTTGCCACTGCCTGTTCAGACACTGGGGTCCGGATGCTCCCCAGCCACAACTCAGGGCTTTCCTACCCCTCCAGTTCTCCCCTCTGGCATGCTGTCCCCATGTCCCTGCTGCACGTTACCTCCTTAGACCCAGGGGTGGGGGCTCTCACCCGGGAGGTCAAGGGCCACGGCCCGGTAGCCCCTCTGCGCCAGCAGCTGCAGTGTGCCCAGCTGCTCCCATGTCCGGGAGTTAAAGGCCTTTCCATGGAGCAGCACCACATCCACCCTGTGGGCACACAGGGGAGTGTGTGTTCTGGGGGTTCTCTCTTCCCAGGCTTCTCCCACTGCCCTCCCAGGCCCTGAGTACTTTGAGCTGAGCTGGGGGACCCACACAGGGACTCCCCGCGGGCCTAGTCCTTCCACTACACCCTGGGGTCAGCACCCACCTGCGGGCCCGGTGAAGTGGGAGCACCTCGCGGTAAAAAATGGGGGAGCTGCCAGGGGTGAGACCAGCTAGGATTGTGACATTGGGGTCTCCCCAGAGCCAGGAGGTCTGCTCAGGGGGTCCTGGCAGCCCCACATACAGTAGCAGCATGAACAGCAGGCCCAGGCCCAGCAGGGCGACCTGGGACCGGGTCATGGAGGTCTGTACCACAGTCTGGAGGAGAGGAGAGGGAGAAGAGGGTAGGGCTGAGCCCCCGCGAGGTCCCCTGGACCCCATTCTCAAATCCCACCCAGGAGCTCCCAGCAGAGGAAAAGCTCAGCCCTTGCCCTTTCCTCTGCTCCAGGCAAGGATCTGAGGGTTCACACCCAACTACTCCACATGCCAGGGCAAGGGCTCAGATACCCCCAAAGCGTGAGGAGCATCTGAGATGTCCTCCTGGCATCAGGGGCCACCATCATCCTTGTGCCAGCTAAAACCACTTCCATTCATCAGGTGCTTATGATAGCCAGGCCCTGTGCTTGGCCCTTCACATGTAACGACTCATGAACCCACACAAAAACACTAGGGAGCAGGTATTATAGGTCTCTTATAAATGAGGAAACTGAAGCTCAGAGAGGTAAATTCTCTTACCCAAAGTGCAGAGTAGCAAGCAGGGGAACTGGGACTTGAGCCCAGGGCTGGGCTCCTAACCACCAGGCCACACTCAGTTTGCCAAGGAGGAAACCAAGGCTGTGAGGTGACGGATGAACTCGTGGACAGAGTGCTGAGAGTCATCAAAGGTGAAAGGCATCAAAGAGTAAAGCGATGTCCCACTGAGGGCATGTTTTGAAATGGTTCTTTTTATCACACTGCATATAATAATGCTAAAATCAGAATGTGTTTTACCACTGATGGGAATATTTAATGCTCTACCCCAGCTGATATTAAGTGTGAAGAGAGCTCATGGAGAATATCCTTGATGGAGGAAATGTCTAGGCATGAGGGGGTATGCGGCTAGGGAGAAGCACGGCACATCTAGAAGTGGAAAGGGAGCCATGGAGGCTGGAGAGACAAATGCCTCCCACCCCTCAGCTTCACGCCAAATGACCTGCTTCATGGACTCCTCTAGTCTGAGTCCTTTGCCAGCCCAGAAAACAGACCTCAGTATCCAGGACCCAGACAGAGCAGTTAGCCCTGCCTTTGAGACTCTGCTCTTCCAATTCCTGGCTGTGTGCCTTGTCAGTAAAATGGGGAAGATAACCTGGCGGCTGCCCTCCCAAGACTCCTGTGAGATTTCGGTAATACAGTGGACCTGACCAGGGGCTGTCTTATCATTTCTTGGGTCTAGGGTGAGCAGGCCTGCCTTGTTCCCAGATTCCAGTAAACAGGTCTTTATTGAGTGTCAGCTGGGCGCTGGCCGGAGTTCAGGGCTGGGGAATCACCTTGGACCCCCCCACCCCCCAACCCTCCGGGAACGAGAAGGCTTGTTTCCCAAGCCCCCACCCCCAGGCTCAAGGGTCAGGTGGTGACTGGGCAGTGGCAGCCCCTCTGGGGCTGATGGAGGACCAGATGCTGAGTGGAGGAAAAGCACGCTCCTCTCTTCTTTCTGACCACAACCAGCCTCGGACGCAAGCCTCCAACACGCGGCAGCCTAGGTTCCCACCAGGCAGAGCATCCGCGCTGAACCTCTCCTCTGGTGGGCCTGGTGCGCTGGGGCACCTCTCCCGGTAGGGAGGGAAGGGACTTCAGCTGTTGCTATGGCAACCCAGGCAGCTGGAGCACTAGACAACAGTACGCTACAGATATGGGGGGAGGGGAGGGAGGCGCTGTACCTGCGTTAGGTCCTTGGCATACGCGTCGACAATGACACACAGGTGTACAGACGTGCACACAAACTCTTGTCCCCTAACGCTTTTCCCTTGTACAAGCTATTCCCTGCACGTACACGCAGCCTCCTTGCACACGCACGGGCCTCTGCACAATCGATACCTTGAAACACCCTCAAAGTCACACACACATTCAGCTATCAGGAAGGCAGAGGGACAGGTAGACACACACACGCTTTCAAAACCATATGCAGACCCTCATATTTCAAGCACCCAGTCATACACACAACCCCAGAACTACACACGCACACAAGAAATACACAGGCACAGGCAGAAAGACGGACACCCAAACACAGACCCTCAGAAATACACACACAGACACACAGGTAGATATACACCCTTAAAATCACACGCACACAGAAATTCGCACAATAGACATACAGACACAAGCGGGCAGACAGGCTGACATAACCCCCCCAACACAGGCACACAGAAACACCGATACACACCACACACACACACACACACACACACACACAATACACGTACACCCAGACCCCCAAGAACACACGCTGACAAACGCGCGGGCGCGCACACTTGACACACGAACACAAACATACTCGCTGCCCCAGCGCGGGCCCCTCCCAGCAGGACTCTGTCCCAGGGATCCGGGGTCAAGGGGCGGGGCAAGGATGGCCCGCCCCCGGGCACCCTGCTGGCCTCACTCCCCGGGGACACTCACCGGGCCGACAGGGATGACCGGGTCTGCCACCGCGGGGCTGGCTCCGCTCAGGTGCAACCAGCGCCAAACAGCCCCTAGACGTTGGCGCTACCTCAGCCTCCGCCTCTCTGCGGGCGGCTGCGAGCCTCCGCGCGCCTGCGCAGTCCGCGGTCTCGGGTCCACGCCTAGTAGCCGAGCTGGAGGGGGCACTGGGGGCGGCACCCCAAAGCACAGAGGCTCGGCGCCCCCGTCCCCCCGTTCAGATTTTCCGTATTGTTTTCGGCCTGAGAGCCGGGGGAGGGACAGTCGACTTCTTCCCACAAGCACGTCTCCACCCTTGCTCAGTCTCCGGTCTGTACAGCAGGGTTAAGGATAAGGGTTGTCTTAAGGACCACATAGGGTTGTCACCACCACAGAGGCCTGTCTTAAGGACTGAAGGATAGGTAAAGCCTTAGAACAGTGTCTGGCGCGGAAGCCTCGCTGTGTAACTGCCAGATATTAGTATTGTTATGCAGCAGCCCCAGGTCTCCGGCCATCCACTTCCCTAATCCCTGCAAATACACACGCGCTCGAGCAGTCGGTCAGGGCCCGGGGTGGCCTCTAGGCTCCTTCACATCTCTATATGTCACCTATCCTGGTTGGTGACATGCGACCAACATCTGATCTGTCCCTGGCCTGTGTGGGCAGACCTGGAAAAGGGAGGCTGCACGGAACACGCAGCGTTCACTCCTTATTAGCACTCTGTGAGGTAGGCAGCATCACAGCCATTCTACAGGCAAGGAAATAGGCTCGGAGGCGTTGGGAAAACGATCAAGGCTGGGCATTGGCAAAGCTTCGCATTCAAACCTGTCGGGCCTCAGCCACATGCCAGACCGACGACTCTGGGTTTGGGCAGCCCAGGGTGGGGATGAGGAGGTGGGGAGGAAGGGGGAGGGAACAGGAAGGATGAGACCCCAAAGGAACCCTCCTTCTCAAGCCACACCATATGCAGGTGGAGCAGGTCGCTGAGGGTCTCGGGGCCGGAACCTGCCCGGTGCTTGGGGAACGTGGGGCCGAGGGGCGTGGGGAAACTGAGACAGCTGTGAGAAGGATGGGTCTAGCAGCACCCGTCAGCCCTGGGACGGCTTGTGGCCACAAGCGGGCGCCCCGGAGCACGGCCCGGCCCACGCCCTCCGGCGGGCCACATCCCTGCTTCCCCGCCCCGGGCCCCAGCCGCCGCCTGCACTCGCCTGCCTCCTATTTGCGAGAGCCCACGCAGCTCCCCAGGTACCTGCCCTGCGCCCCCCAACCCTCTCTCCAGTTAGAACCCACCCCCACCTACCCCAAGTTTCTCCTCTGCCCATCTCGGTTCCCCAGGACCCCTTCCTCGGGTCTGCCCCCACCCCCTCTGCATGCACCCTACCAGACCCTGCGATCCACAACCGAGGTCCTCGGAGGGGACACAGCGAGCGGTGGCGGCGCCGGTGACCGCGCCCCTGGCTGCGGCGTCAGTGCGTTGGGCCCCAGCGGGTAGCGCGCTGAGCACCTCGCTTCCCTCGCCGGCCGGAAGTTCAAAGCCTTTCCCTGCTCAGCGCTCCGGTTTCCGGCTCCGGAAAACAGATTTTTTTACTCTAACCCCTATCCTCTTCGGCCTGCGATGCCAACCTACGACCTATAACAGTGCCTGGAAGATGAAAAGCAAAATAGTCAACTACTTTGATTGCTGTTGATACATTTACTATGCTTACTATGTGCTAGGCACTGGCGAGTGTTTTACATGCCTGGCCTCGTTTAATCCTATCAACCACCTAGGAACTAGTACTATTGTATTATCCCCATTTGTAGAAAAGGATAATAACAATGGGAACAATAATTGTAATGGGAGACTCATGTATTAAGTTCTTTCCAAAGGCAGGCACCATCAATTATCAATTCTTTTTCTTTTTTCTTTTAACTCATAAATTCTTGAGATAGGCTTTAATGTCCCTTATTTCAGATGAGGAAACCAAGGCAATTAGGTAGTGGCAGATGCAGAAATAACACCTATGTCTTCCTCACCCCAAATCATGTTCCTAGAGTTTTGGGAGCCTCCTTGATGCTCCAGGAGGGACCCCTGCCCTGTCTGTGGCAGCCTCCCTGCTCCACCTGGGCAAGGTGTTCTGTGGCTTCTCATCAGCCTGGCCTTGAACCACAGGTGCTTCACCAGCACAGCAGGAGGTATGGCGGGCGTGGAGCAGCACGAGGGCACCATCCAGGTGCAGGGCCAGAGCCTCTTTTTCCGAGAGGCTCACCCGGGCAGTAGGCAGGCCACCCGCTTCTCCGTGCTGCTGTTGCATGGCATACGCTTCTCCTCCGAGACCTGGCAGAAGCTGGGCACGCTGCACAGGCTGGCCCAGGCTGGCTACTGGGCTGTGGCCATTGACCTGCCAGGTAACTCCAGGGAAGGCTTCTGGGCAGGGGTTGTGGAAGCCTCACTGGGGACCCAGGGCTGGGGACTGGGGGACTGGGACGACCTAGCCAGGCTGACTCCTGAGCTAGACAGGGCGCAGTGCACACTACAAGGGCTTTCGAGCTTCTCTAGTCCATCCGGGTGTGGTCTGGACACTGCCCAGCTGCTTCTAACTGTGTTGCCCAGGGCAATGTCTCAGAGACTCTGCTTCTGTTTCCTCATCTGTAATGGGAGATAACCACACTCATTCTGGGGTTTGGCTCTAATGAGAATGGAATGAGATTATCCATGTGTGTATGTGGCCAGTACCTAACACATAATAATCGGTGCTCAGTCGACTGGAAGTAAAATATTTTGAAAGAGCCGAAACCACAGGCTCTGTTGGAAGCCCTGAGGAGTGACACTGAGTCCCCTGGCACCTTTGGGGGTGGCTAAGCCCCCAGTCATGATCCCACATACAAATCCCTAATTGAGGTCCTGAGGGAGGGAGGAGCAGCACAAGACTGCCAGTCATAACCTCAACTGGCGGGCCCCAGCCCATGGTGCCAAGTGTGAAGGTGGCAGCATGGCCAACCTGCTCCCCTCACTGGCCATAGCTGGTATGGTTTCCGTGCCCAAGGGCGGGCCTCCAGGCTGGGACAGGATTGGTTCTGACAGTGGATTGGGCTGAGCTTCAAGGCCAAGGCCTTGAACTAATCCTTCTGCAGAAGGTAGGGAGTGACTAATTGGAGGGGAGGGATGTGTGCAGAGCCAGTCCCTCATCCACTGTCCTGGAGGCATCTACCCTGCCAGCCCTGGGACAGGTGCCTTGAAGCAGTTAACTCAATTTTCACAACAATCTCAAATGGCAAACACTTTTGTTACCTCCTTTTAACAGATGGGGAAACTGAACAGTAGAGTGAGGGCTGAGGGGACTTTCCTAAGCTTACATAATCTATAGTGGACAACTGGGACTTGGATCTGGCCAAGCTGGGCTTCAGAGCCTGATTCTTTGAGGACGCTGTACTGGGGGAGATGGGCACAAACATGGAAGGAAATGCCTTACGCTTGCTACAGATATGACAGACCTAGGTTGCTGTAGGAATAACTACAGCATGCAACACTGCCTGTTGCAGGAACCTGGCACAGAGGTTGACCTAGGAGGGCTTCCTGGAGGAAGGGACCCTCTCTCCCTTGTTTTCCTACTCACCACCTTTGTCTCTCCCACACCTGAATCCCTGCAGGTCTGGGGCGATCCAAGGAAGCAACAGCCCCTGCCCCGGTTGGGGAGCTGGTCCCCAGCAGCTTTCTGGCAACTGTGGTGGATGCCTTGGATATGGGCCCCCCAGTCGTGATCAGCCCATCGTTGAGTGGCATGTACTCCCTGCCCTTCCTCGTGGCCCCAGGCTCCCAGATCCGGGGCTATGTGCCAGTGGCCCCCATCTGCACTGACAAAATCAATGCTGCCGACTATGCCAGAGTGAAGGTACCCCTATGTGAGAGGCTGAGATGTCCCTGCCAGGAGCAAGGAACAGTCCATCCCGGGGCCCTGGGTACTGGGTAACCAAAGGGGTAGCTTCCGGGAGGAGCTGAACCACCAAACTCCGCCCTTTTGGTGTACTTGGCAGAAGATTACTGTGGCAAGCCCTGTGCTAAACTGTGTGTTGGGGCATACACATATTCATGCCTCTCCAAACCAACCCTGCACTGGGCCAACTTGTTTCTCTCTGTTATTTGCAGTGACCCCAGGGAGAGACCGAAGTGATGGGGAGGGCTGGAGTTGATCTCTAGGAGGCTGGGGCTGGTGGGGCAGGTCCCCGTTGACTCTGCCTCCCTTTCCTTTCTCTAGACCTCGGTTCTTATCGTATACGGAGACCAGGACCCCATGGGTCAGACCAGCTTTGAGCACCTGAAGCAGCTGCCCAACCACCGGGTGTTGGTCATGGAGGGGGCGGGGCACCCCTGTTACCTTGACAAACCCGAGGAGTGGCATACAGGGCTGCTGGATTTCCTGCAGGAGCTAGCATGAGGCGCAACCCTGCTGATGGGGGTGGGCCACTTGCCTGCCTTGGGCTCTCTCTCACTCATTCTCTCTCCTTCCCTCCGTGGGCTCCTGCTCATCCTGCACATCCAACAGGTGTGTCTTTCTATCTGAGTTCTTTTAGGGTCTGTCTTTTCCTCTTCTTTCTCTTGCAGTGACAGACTGAAGAGGTGAAATCAAGAGAAAAAAATTCAGGAGTCAAGGGACATAATCTGGTGGAGGGTAATCCATTAGATGAGCTTCTCCTATAGGCTTTCCTGCTCGGCTTGCATTCCTTCCTCTGCTCTGCCCAGCCTCCCCCCACCTCCCAGCTCCTCCTTTGGCTGCCCTGCTGGGCACAAACACCCCCTACCTTCACCTCTTAGGCCACAAATACATACATGCCCACATGCATGCATACACATTACAGTCATCTATGTTCCCAAATATGATCCTTCACTTGGGGGCAACCACACAGGTACATGCAACTCTGGGCTGATACGCACACTCTCACAGCAGCTTTGCATTGCATGCACAGGCACACACGCATACTCTGTCCCCACACAAGCACTTGCACAGGCACATGCTGCCCTCCCCAACCATTCAGCA